CATAGGTAATCCTTCTTTTTGTGGTCTGGTGGAAATACATGTTATTAATGGTGTTTCTGGGATGTAATAGGTGGTTTTCTGCCACAAATATTCCTTTAGCCAAACAGTATTTGAATTGGACCAAAGCAAAGCCACTGCTTGTGCTTATAACATGGAGGATTTTCTTGCTTAGCGTTGAAATTCAAGTACAAAAGTCTTTCTGGTCTATTTGCTACAACACCTCCTCTCACAGAGGTTAAGAAGAGGTGAACAGGATGAAAAGGCACTTGCAGGGTTTAAAAAATCTTCTATGGAAAAAAACATCTTTCATATCACCCAAAAAAAAAAAGTCTCCTGTAGGTTGTTATGTGCATAAGGTGGAGGCTTAAGAGCAGACACATTTGCAGATGAACTGCTTTTCCTCGCTTCTCTGAGACATGACATTTGTTCAGAAGATTAGCCAGGTTGTAATGTGTAGCATAATTGCACTGTGCGGATGTCCCAGAAGTGAAAACCTAATTGCTTGACAGTCCTATAACTTTGTGGTGCGCTCTCACCTTGTTAGGTCCTTTTCTGATGCGGTTCAAATGCAGGCTGGCCGCAGGTGTGCCTAATTTACCTCGCAACAGAACGTGTGGAGTTTAATTGCACAGTGGTTGTTAGGAAAAATTGGTGGGTGGAATATCAAGTGACTTACTGTATGCGGACGGCAGATGGGCGGCGAGAGGCACCGCGAGCTAAGTGTATAGGTGAGGTGAGTTAATAAAAGATGTAAATTTTAGCTTAAAATAGTGGAGTCTTGCAGAAGGTAATACATTTTAATTAAGATGCTACCAGGCCCCTCTCTAGCAGTGTGAAAAAATCAGAGCAAGGGAACATCACAAAGGCTTCATTTTTCTCCCTATCAGTATTTTAGGAGTGGTTTAGCATGTTTGGGAAGGATGTCCTGGGTTATTTCTGGTCTCTCCTGCCATGGCTGCAGGGAGAGGACTAGAGGGAATGGTCATAAGTTGAAGCAGGGGAGATTCAGATTAGATGTTCGTAATTTTTTTTTCTCTGTGAGGGTGTTCAGGCACTGGGATATTGCCCAGGGAGGTGGTGGAGTCACCATCCCTGGAAGTGTTTAAGAGGCATCTGGGTCTGACACTGGAGAATGTGACTTAGGGGTTACAGCAGTGGGAGGTTAATGGATGGACTTGATGCTCTTAGAGATCTCCTCCAACCTTGACGATTCTGTGATTCTAAAACCTACAATTTGTGCATATGATACAGTATATAGCAGGGAGAGCCAACTCTATAGACAGGCTTGAGCTCTCATTCTGTTGTCTTGAAGTCTGAGACATGACCAAGCAGAGCTCTGATCTAGGCACTTGCTTCCTGCTGTGCCACACAGACCTTGTGTGGAGAAAGAGGTTGGGATGACAAGGAAGGGTTTGTAGTGCCCATGGTCCTTGTTGGTCAGCTAAGAGGGACAACCAAGTCAGTCATTTCCTGGTGAGCTTTGAGGAACACACTGCTTTGGAATGTGGTTTTTAGCTTATGTCGTCTTCCTCTTGCTGTGATGCCACCTGTGCCCCATGAGCTCTCTGGAAACACAGATTAAAGAGTGAAGCAAAATATCTCAGTATCAGGGAATGTAGCAGAGCTGAAACACAAATGCTGCTTGTGTTCACCTCAGCCTTGTGGCATCAATATTTATACTGGTGCTCAGGGTCATCCTGATAAACTTGATGATGTCTAATTTTGCCACAAGTGGGTCCTTTTCACCAAATAATTGAACAAATGCTGGTTCCAGTTGATGTTTAGTGAAAGGGTGCTTAATGGCCCTTTTTCTTTGACAGGATGTGAGCTCTCTGTATAGAAACAATTCATCATGAATGGTTCACGCTAAAAACAATCCACGAGGAGCAATACTTAGCATTCCTAGTGCACAATTCATTGGAGAATTTCCGAGCAATTTACAAACATTAGCTCAATAAACCTCACAACACCCATTTGAGATCAGAAAAAAAAAAAAAAGGATAAGATACTGCTCTTCAGCCTGGATGTGGCACTAAGGAGCCATAAAGCTGGAGGCTAATCCCAGCTTCTGGCTACCCAGCGCCGGGTGGTCCTGTTCTGACGTGGGCATCAGCTGCTCCTTGCACATCCTCACAGCCTGTGTGGTTGGAGGTGTGAAAACAAATAGAGGTCTGACAGAAATGTCATTTAGAATCACAGAATCGGAGCCTGGTTTGGGTTGGAAAGGACCTAAAAGACCGTCTAACTCCAAGCCCCTGCCATGGGCAGGGAGTGTGGCCTATATGCAGTTGATCTGGAGGGAATAAGTATCTTAATAAGCATCTTAAATCCCCAAACAAAAACCCAAAACACCCAAACCCCCCTCAAACCAAGGCAGATAAAACTAGGGGGAAGTTTTGCCTAACAGGTGCAGTTTTGTGGAGTTATTGGTAATGTCCCTGCTAGTGTCCAGAAAACCAGAGTTCAGGTGAGGACCTGAGCTAGGAGATCATGTCAACCACTGTGGAAATCTGGATAGTTTTCACCTCAACAGCTAAAACACCTTTACAGATTTTGGGATAGGAAGTTTTAAAGAAATGTGCATTCAGCTGAACTGGCAGCATCGATTTATTTATGTAGTTTCAGTAAACCTGGTTGTCTCCCTGCGTGACTCTCTGATATGAGAGATCACTCCTACAGCATTCGCCTCTGTGGTAATATCAGGGTCCTGCTCCAGGTTTAACAGGAAAGGAAGAACTGGGATTAAAAGCACAGGTTTGTGATTTGGGGATAATCACATAGTGCTTCTCTACGACCCTCAAAGCTTCTCAGCAGTGAGTGTGATGTGGTGTGGCCACAGTTGTACTTTCTATTGGCCATGATTGGGCCATGTTGGGTGCTGAAGAAGGAAAGATGTGTCTGTCTTGCCTTCTGCCAGGAATGCTCTTGGCACAGGGAAAATTCTGTGAGGTGTGTACAGCAAGAATAGTCAAGGGCACTTATAAAGACTGGCATGAATGAATAAATAAAAGTTGTTCATGTTCCTCATGTGAAAGCTCTGGCTGAGCTCAGTGTTCAGTGTGTGTGAAGTTGGGCAGCACAAGCTGCTGGACTGGAGCATCTGAAGAACTCTGGGTAAGGAGAAAGTCCTGAGCTTTTCTTGTCATTGGCTGTCAGTCATTTTCCGGAAAACAGACCCATAAAATATTTTTAAGTGCTGGGACATGAAAACATAATGACATAAAGAAAAGAGGCAACATCAGGCTGTGAACATCCTCCTGCGTGAGGGCTCCCATTCTGCATCACCTACAGGGTGGAGTCAGCCCAGATCAGCACATTCTTCCAGTGCAGGGGGGCAGCATAAAGGAGTTTCCATCTTTCCAAGCCTTTCCCTTTCCTCTAAGTGCTCGCTGTGCTCCCCTGAGGCAGCCTTGCTGCAAGAACGGTTTATGGGGAGATGCCTGGATGATAAGGGTTAGTCCTAAATAATTGCTGGTTGCTGCTCAGCAGAAATAAGCTGGATTTCGATCCCTGGGTAGAGCGACTCCTCACAGCTAAAGGCTGGCAAAGGTTGAAGAGGTCGTAAGACAGGGCCTAATTTGCCATGTTCCTTTCCTTTCAAAAACAATGAGGGGACTGGGGCCTTGCCGGTGGGCAGATCCTGCCTGGATCTCCCTGGAGTCAGCAGGACTTGGACGGAGTCCCTTTGAATAGAGAGAGTTTCCAAACCGGAGGCAAAGCCAAGTGTTTTTCAGAAGATTGATCATTCATTACCTTTGGAATTTCTCGATGTAGAGGTCATTACTGCTAATATAAGTTGTGGAAAAAATAAAAAGTACTGAAAAAATAGAGACAAATTCTCATCTGGTGTAAGTCATTGCCTTTGAAGTCAATGAGTCATTGAAACCAACTTTCCCACACCGAGCTAAGGATATGGCCTGGAGTCAATACATTTGTAGTTGTTGAAAAATTAAAAATATAAATTTGCCTTTCCTTGGCAATAATGTTCTGTTTATGACAGAGATGTTATGCTTTAAAATAAGTTCATTAACTAATAGGAAAGTAATATTTCACTACCAGTGTCCTTTGGGGTATAACTCTTTATGATTAAATTTTATTAAACTTTTTGAAAATTGGATTTACATTTTGATGAATCTAATAGATTTCAATTTTGTATTTTTATAGATTCTTTCTAAAGTTTTTCCTCAAGTGCAATCAGAACTGTTTGAAGAATGCAGGCAACCCGCGAGACATGCGAAGATTCCAGGTACAGATCCCTCTAAAAGCATAACCAGCATATAAAAGGCTTAGTCACATCTTCATCCTGAACTTTTCATAATGAAAAAACAGTTCCAGTGCTTCTACTTAGCGTAGTTCCAATGCTTTAAAAAATTGCTGTTAGTATTTTGCATTACCCCACTAAGTTCAGTGCTGATTTTGGGACGTGCTGAGTTCTGAAGTGAACTGCAATGCTGAAGAAAGTGGATCTCTCCTCAGAAAGTATTTCCCAAGTTTACCTTCCTACTAACACCTTGTGTTGCAGTGTGGAGTGTGCTTAGACCTGCAGAGGTTTTACATAGACTGAGTTGTTTATCTCACTAAGGACACAGTCATGGAGCTCAGGGAAGTTTGGATCTCACACAGGGGTTTGTCAGGTTCACAACTTGTAAATCCAACAGCAGAGGCCCAACCCACATGTTACTATTCCAGTTGTGTTAGGAAATGTTTAATACTTCACTCTCTCCTTACAGCTTTTGAGATATCCTGTGGTGAATCATAATACTACAGAGAGACATCTGATGGGGTGGACAAATGGTTTCCTCCGTATCTGGGGTCATCCGAAAGGCTTGTTAGGAAACAAATGCCTTTTATTGCAAAATATTTCACAGTGATTCATGTATTGGAGAGTAATAATGAAGTAGTATTGAGATGTTTGAGACTTTCTTAGTTTGGAGAAGCATAACTTGTGGTTAAACTTGATAGGAAAACATGTGACATCTGTTTTCATGCACAGCCAACCAAGCAGGGGAGCCAGCACCCTCGAGCCAGCCAACAGAAAAGATCTGTAGCTGGAAAAAAATTAGTTCTTCAAAACAATTGAGCCAAGCTTCCATTTTTCATGCATCTCAGCTTCACGTGGCATCGGTGATATTGATCCATCTGAACAGAACAGAAGGTCAAACCTGGAATGAGTGGAAATGTCCTCTTTGTCTCACCAATGACTAAATGAAGCATCACTCATGATCTTGTGGTCGACAATGGAGCCAGTAGGCACTAGAAAGACTTTTCTGGGTTTCTTTAGCTAATCTCCCTGCCTCTCAGAAGGTTTAACTGGACTTAACAGGATGTCAGATCTCAAACAGTATTTTTACCTGGTTTCACTGCCTCAGCACCTTTCTGGAGGTGCACGGCAGGAGTAAGGTGATATAACAAAGCGCAGCACGTCGACTTTCTTTTGCTGAACTACAGTATTTTCCCTTGGTGACTGACCTATATATACATGACAGAACAAAAATAGTTGTCGTTTTCATATACACCTTGCTCTGCCTCTTTAATACACCGTGTTCTAGGAACTAAACCCAGAAATCTTGGCTGACAACCACGCTTGTATGTCTTGCAATATTTCTTAGAGTCTGGGAATCTCATTAAGAGTGAAAGTGGATAGCCCAGTGGCCTGGCAGCAGCTCTGCGGGTGAGGTGAGCGTGCAACCTCAGCACTCACCCAAGTGGATGTTGACAAGAGGGAAAGTGTCCACTTGTGGGAGGAGGGAGCTGGGAAAGCGAAGCAGCCTGGCAGAGAGCTGCCCTCGGGCTGTTCTAAAGGGTACCGCAGATGGCTGTCTCAGAGGAGGCAGGATACACAGGGAAGGTGCTGTGATAGCTGAGAGCTAATTATGGGATGTGAATAAGAAACAGGATCAGAGGTGACCCAAAACATAGAAGCAGGCAAGGATTTTCTTCTGATGCCACGGACTAGCTCTGTGCACGAGGAGCCTTGTTTCTCCCCTTCCAGTCAAGTGTTTGGGTTTGGGAGTTGGTGGGAGAACTCTGCAAACATCTCTGTTGTATCCAAAATTAAATACATGGAAGGTGAGAGCTGAAATTTGGTCTAGCTTTTGCCATTGCCACTGCCACTGGTTGAGTTGATAAGGTCTAACTCAGTCATTGAATTTATGGACTCTACTAACCCCACAGAAAACGCTGCAGCGGCTGCTTGGTTTAGAAAAGCTGGAACCCACGGCCCAAGGCCCATGCTGGAGTATTTAAATAAGATGTAAATGTCTGCCTGGGATAATAGCGCTCGACCTGCAGAGCTGTGTTGCACACAAACACAGGCTCAGCTCACAGTTTCCTCCCTGGCTCGTGTTCACGCAGTATCGCTTCCGGAAGGAGTCTCACAGCTCCATTGTGTAGGTGTTTTTATCGGGAAGGTTGTGCGTTTTGCATATGTTCCTATTCCATTTTCTACTGAGAAGCAGCTGGAAGCCAAAGGAGGCCCAATCCATCATCTCTTCTATGGCCGGACTCTGAACCTGGACACAAGAATAGGAGCCTTTCACTCAAAAATAAAGGAGGAAATTCCATTGACATACCAGGGTCAATCACCATCCAAATGAACTTGAGAAGGGATACTTTTCATGGGTTGAAAACACTTTCACTATTCATATTCAACTCGGTCTTTTCACATGCAAAAAAGTTCATTATCAGACATTAAATGTAATTGTAAAACTGACCTGGAGATCATTTACTGAAGAAAAAAACGGGGAGTTACGATGGTTCCTGATTTATTAAGCTTTTTTTATTTGCAGTCCTCACAACCCTTCATTTGAAGACAGTCTCAAGTGAACAAATTTTAATTAGATAAACTATCTAATCAATATATCAACAGATCAATCAAAACAGCAGCTCTTAAAATGAGTGGCTAGAGGGGTGTTTCTGAAACTAATGGCTAGAAGAATATTTCCCTGAATTGAATTCATTTGTTAGCATAATAGGAGATTAAACTCTAATTAGTGTAGCAGGTTCTGAAGAGAAACAATCGCGAGTTAAAAATCACCAGTGGTCGCCACGTCAACAAAGATGTATTCAGGGTTGTCATTCACTCGGTTTAAATAGAGGCAGGAAAGTAACAGGATGTTGTTCGGTCTTTGGAGCCTGGAGTTGGGGAAAATCTCCAGGATTTTTTTAAACTTGGGGTTTTGTTCTCTCTTGCAGGTTGTTGTATCAACAACAGTCAATGTGGACGGCCACGTGCTGGCTGTCTCAGACAACATGTTTGTCCACAACAATTCCAAACACGGGAGGCGGGCTCGCCGCCTTGACCCCTCAGAAGGTACGGCCCCTTCTTATCTGGAAAATGGTAGGCACACATTTACATGTCTTTTTTGTTTATTTGCAATGCTTTTTTATTTTATTTTATTTTGCTTTATTTTTTTATTTTGGTTTCGCCCCACACTTTCTGTTTTGCCCCCACTCCCTTTACTTTTGCACCATTTCTTCTCTCATCCATCAAATCACCCATTAAAAAAGGTCCATTAGTATTTCTCAGCCCTTGTCAACTGGAACACGGATGCTTCTGAATTTGCTTCTGACTTCTTTCCTTTTTAATACTTGCAGTTTTGCAGTCACAACAAATTTTTCATCCTTTTTTTTTCTGCTTTTTTTTTTTTGACTTCAGTCTTGTTTTGCTAGCAGCTTTTTCTTGCGCTTTAATTTGACTTGATTTTATTTTGGCTTGTCATATTCCTTGATCCAGAGGTACAGTCTCAGGTTATGTATGCAAGTTTCAGTGGATGCTAAAAACATGACCGAATCTGTAAAGAATTTACTGTGAGGTCAATTTCCTGTGGCTGGGCCTAACTGCAGATTACAGCAGGAGGGGGTTTGTATGAGAAAAACAGCATAAACTGTTTTTCTTCAGCCTGACTCAATGTGATTGACTTCTTGCCTGAACTGCTAAAAGAAGATAGTCTGAGATGAAGAGGAGAATGGAAAGTGCCTCTGAAAATCTAGAATTGTGAAATCCTATCTTTTTGGAGCCCGAATGGCTCACACACAATCACAGCTGCGCTCGGACACGTGAACACATATTTGTTCCCCTGCAGAAACCAAAAATGATCATTTAGGCTTAAAGATCACTTTGTTTGTGCTGTAAAATATATCAGTGTAAGGATACAAACTGGTTCTCCCTGTTCTTTAATAAATTAGGATGGGATGGGGTAGGTTAGGAGAGGAGAGGATGGATAGTGCAAAAAAGGATAGGATAGGATAGGATAGGATAGGATAGGATAGGATAGGATAGGATAAAATAGGATGAATAGAATAGAATAGAATAGAATAGAATAGAATAGAATAGAATAGAATAGAATAGAATAGAATAGAATAGAATAGAATAGAATAGAATAGAATAGAATAGAATAGAATAGAATAGAATAGAATAGAATAGAATAGAATAGAATAGAATAGAATAGAAATAGAATAGAATAGAATATTTTCAGTCAGAAGGATCATCCAGTCCAAGTGCCTGACTACTTCAGGGCTGGCCAAAATTTAAATGCACTGAGGTCAAAAACATGCTCAGTTCTCAGACTTAGCTTCTCAAACCCACCATGGCCAGCCAGAGCTGCATGGCCAGGCCGTGCAGAGTTTGCACAGGACTCCTCCTGTGAGCTGTTGCTAACATACTGACAGGATCATGTCTTTTTACACTAATAGAATTAATTAAAGTGATAACAATACTAAGCTGCTAATGCAATCATTGTCATTTCACTTTTCAAACAGTATTTACCAATGGGCAGAGAGGGAAATGAGTGAGGTGAGCACCAACTATCAGAAGGCAAAAGGATCTAGACATCAGAAAACAGAAAACGCTTTACAAATCTGCCTCGGCCCACACACACACACACACACACACACACACACACACAACCCTAATTTGTTTTTCTGCATTAATAACTAAGGTATGAGGGACCAAAAATATAATAATTAAAGGTCGCCCTGAGCACCAGAGTCATTATGGTCTATGACGTATTGTTTATCTCTTTCATATGCGAGGAAAGTAGGTGTGTGTTTTGCCTAGCAACCGTCACTAATGAGGTTCACAATTAAGAAGGCTGAATCCTCTCCCCTCGTCCTCTCCTTCCCCAGAGAGCCAGAACTAGCAACATTATAGGTTCAAGTAAGCATGCTCAGCCCTGTGGTGTTAGGTTTTAGTCTGGGTCCAAATTCAGCCTCTTCTAATGAGCTATTATGATCTTAGCAAAATACAAGTATTTATTTTTGTAAGCTGCATGAAAAGAATTTGACTCTGAGCAGAAAATATCACTTAGAAAAATAAAGGCCACTTCTGCATGCTACAGAAAATCTACATAAATGTCACTTACTGACATTCTTTTTTTTTTTTTTTGTGATACAGTAATTGATTTGCTTCCTTTAAACGTTAAAAAACACAGTGTCAAATCCTCTTT